CATTCTGTTGTTCTCTCTCGGCAAAAGCAAAACAGATATCTTCTCCTTGAACCCCTGTAGACCCTCCGTTTCCAGCGTTTCATCTTCGTCGATGTCGAGCCCCTTCCATACGTCCTCTACAACCTTGACCCATTCCGTGGGTTGTCTACCCTTCTTTTTGTTTGCCCACTTCGCCTCCCATACAATTCTCGGCAACCTCTCCTCTCCCATCCCGCACATACAATACTGCCATGTCAGCTTCCTCGCGTCTCTTCCCGACCGTAGGGATTGGATCCCCAATTCTGCCCTGACGGCTGCATTACTTGTGCGCGCGGGGGGGGGGCACATACCCATGTATCCCCGGGTTTTCCAACGAGGCCTCGGTGCGTTGGCATCCCGCTCTCGCATGGTGTGAGAGTACCGAGCAAGCGCTTGAGTAACATGTGGTATGTATTTATTTGGTTTTAACGAAGTTCGACTGAAAAATTTCGATGAGGGCAAGAGACTGCTGAAGAACTCGTCTCGCGATCAAAAGTGGAAGCAGGCACCAACGAATTTAGTTCGTTTCTACACCCAGGCTACTGCGTGGATGTCCCTGTGTACACAGCAGTAGTTGGCAACATTGCTTGTCGGGGCGACAATACATTATTGGACTCCCCCCGCCAGACAAGTTGCCCAAACCATAGCGTGTGGGATACGCACGCAGGCGCCGTGTAATTTTTGGGAGTTTTTTGTTGGGCACTCGCACACCCAACGCGTGTTACCGCTGCTGTTGCATTTGCCTGCATCCATCCTAGGGTATACCGATCGCTCCCATTCTCACGAGATGTTCTCATCTTCAACCTTGTCTCTTGGCCATCTGCTCTCATTTTCACGAAATTCTGAGCCCTGTCTTTTCGACAGATTCGGTCCCGTAGTGGCGGGCGCGCCAACGAAGACGGTCCTTCATAAAGTGTTGTTATTTTCTTGCGGACTTGAATGAACGAGAAAATATGCTGCCCTCAGTCATTCTGTGTAGGACAGTGTTCTTCGACCATACCGCTTTAAGGCCCATGTTTATGGTTTCCAAATCTTGATCTTCCTTTTGTTTGGACAAATGTTGGCTTTTTCGACCTTGTGGGCAATCTGCCTCCCGAACGAATGCGAATCAGCTGTTCGACCTTTGCGAACAGTCACACCTTTCAAATTGCCTGAGATGCATACAGACCGCCTATCTATTTGTTTCGCCAGGGTCCACGTTTGTTTTTTTTTCAGCAGAGCAAGATGTTGAAGATTCGGCCGAAAGGCCACCTCGGAGCAAATCTTGGGCCAATATCTGTCCAAATAAAGCTATTGTTGGAAAAATCTTGCGTGAAAATTGCGCATCTTGAAAAAATCAAACCTGGGCCCTGGCGAAAAATATAGGCGATCTGTAGACATCTCAGCCAAAGCTGTGTACAAAAGGTCGAACAGCTGATTCGCATTCGTTCGGGAGGCAGGCTGCCCACAAGGTCAAAAAAAGCCAACATTTGTCCAAAGAAAGCAAGATAAAGATTTGGAAACCATAAAAACATGGGCCTAACTAACCCGGCGTGCGGCATTATGCGTACATGAACAACAATTAGTTGTGGCGCTTGGGGGTATTGGCGGTATCGGCCATCGATCCCCGAAATCCAACTTGCCGCTGGTCAACGAGCTGTCCTGTCCGTTCAAACGCCATGTCATCCGAGATCGGGCAAGCCTTTTGATCGCTCGTGGAGAGCGCGAGCGCCGAGACAAGCCATGGCGCAAGTAAAACCCGGCATGCTTCGCGTGAAAAGTAGTTTTTTGTCGACACTGGTTTGGCGTTTATCTCTTGTACAGCAACCACGTCAGGCTCCCGACACCGACCCTCACGTGTTCTCAAAACTTCTAGAGACAAGTGGAATCCTATGCGCTGCGAAAATCACACACCTACAGCTAGCGCCCGCACTTAAGAACTTCGCAGTTAAGAAATTGAGACTCGCAAAAAATTAGAAGCTAAGATAGTTATTTGTGACCTCGGTTATGAACCCCACACTAAAACCTATATAGCGGCCATTTGAAGCACAAAAGAGGATAATCAGCGAAATAAGAACCCCAGCCTCGGCCGAAACTAGAGGTTGTGAAGTGCGGGCGCCATCTGCATGCGTACCAAAAAATCAAGAGACTGCATCGATCGACGTCTACCTCGCCCGACAAACGTACTCCAGGGGAAACGTATTGCAAGCATCAGGCGGCCCGTCAAATCGCTGCCACCATCAAGAGCGAGCGAGCGAGCGAGCAAGCGAGCGAGCGAGTAGCGGCGAAAATCAGCTTGGAAACGCTTCTTCCGCACAGCACATTCATGCTCCAGAACTTTCCCTACAACAGATTACACACGACACACCTGGCGCGCACGTACTCTTTACAAGCTGTCGAATCTACCTCGCGCGCTTGGCGTGGAAAAAAAAGTCATAATACACACGGGACCGCCGGATATGGCCTGATGGTACTAGGCTCTTGTCCTTCGTGAACGCAGGCTATTATTCACCATGCCGTCATGATATATGGCTCTAAACAGCTCCAGAAAGCGGGCAACTACTACAACTGAAATAGCCTTAGGCTTGTTCGTCCTCCTCCAATACACGGGCGGTCAAATCAATCCGAACAAAAAGTCTTAAAATGGTCCCCAACCTTCCCCTACACCACAACACCAACAAAAACCGGCCGACCCACCCACGCGAGGAACAGCCACAGCCCCACGACAGGCCAAACGAACGTCTTGGGTGAAATCATGCCCAAGCGCGCATCGCTCCGGCAAGCGCGCCGACCAAAAACACAACCTCCAATAGCGCAGCACCGAATGCATTTATACAAAAAATGGGGGGGGGGGG